GATACTTTTCCAGCCCGAAATTTTTGAATGTGAAATGAAAATGAATGGAAATGTCGGCGATTGAGTCGCAACGATCAAATCGCGTGAAGTCTGTCCGGGGTCTTAGCCGATAACTGAATGACAGGGATTACTATGTTGCTTTTATCTGCTATTAGCTGCCAAGTATGCTGAATAGAGAATATTTTTGATACAAATCTATACTTTAATAATATCTCATTATCATCATGCTCACTCCCCCCCCCCCCCACCCTTCTCCCAGGCCAACTCCCTGCCCCGCAGCTCAGAATTTGCGAAGAATCGATGAAATGATAAAGAAAATCAATAATCTTAAAAACTAATATTTTAGTCGCAATTGGCAGGCTCACTTACCCGTGACAACTCCCAGGCCGGGAACTCAAAATTGGCAAATTTAGAAATCGAGAAAATCGTTAGAATCGATAAAGAAAGATACAACAACAGTTCTCCGCCCCGAAGTTGTGTGCCTTGTTATAGAATAGAAATTCTCATGTTTGTTTGTCCGACACTTCTGTGAGTTCAGAGAGTTCACAAAAAAGCGCTGGTTGGAAGTACTAATTATGATATTCTATGTGCAAGGAAATAGAGTGGGTTTGAGACCATTGTACAATGAAAATACTTGAAACAAAAGCTCTAGGGACAAAATCGATGTGGTAGATTACAATAACTCTAGGAAAACTCAAAAGAGATGTGGAATTTTTCTTAGTATTTCTAGTAAACAAAAAAGTATTCGTGTCGATGTTTATCAATGAGTATTGGCTCAGTCTGCTGGCCTTAGCAGAAAAAGGCTGAAATCATACCATTAAGTTTTACAGACCTTCCCTTCTTACTGAGGAGTTCCGGGGAAAGTCTTCAAATACTTTTACTCCGTAAGGCAAGAACGAAACGGAGCCTTATGGTTATTTACACTATGGATTGAAAACCTTTTCTTCTTATTATTATATCAATAATGCATTACGCCTATGAGGAACATGTCCGTTTTTTGTTGTTTATCTCACTTTAGAATTTGCAGGTTACTTGCGTCAGCGCTTTAATCAGCTACAGTGAGCTAATTTAATCTAAGTTTTTTAGGGTTTTTCTGCTTTCGACTGAGGTCAGGTAATTATTGAGTCATCAGTTATCACTTTTGCGTTTGAAGTAGAGTATGCAATCAAGAATGAGTAATGGCAGAAAAATTGCATTGAAAAAACATGGACCTTCACTCAATTACTACATTAAATTCAAACGTAAGCAAATTCTTCACTATCAAAGCTGCCGCAGCGTTCTCCGCAAGTTGTTCAATTGGAAACTTAAGGAACACATTGGACCTCTTGAAAACGTTTCCCACTGCATTCTTTCCGCTGTGGAAGTGGAAATCATAAAATTCAAGCATGCCAAAAAACGACATGGGTGACGTTACAAACCGTTACTAACGAAAAAATGTAGCGGATAACTGATTTGAAAGCAAACGACCATCAAGATAATGAAACGACGCTTTACGTCATGATATCGTCATGAGGTCGTTCTAAAAGTAATCTCGCTTTTTGTAAACAAGCGCCACATCCCCCAGATCAAAGATTTTCGGAACATTTGATCGTAGTTGGTTCAACTACTCTATAGAATGGTTATGGTCATACTTCAACAAATGAGCTCCTAGTGAAATACCAGATATTGCAACTCGTGGTTTTTGCCACAGTCAAGTTCCGTTTTTTCGTACCACAAAACGTAGTCCAAGTTAAGGCTGGAAGAGTAAACCCTACAGGATACTAATCAATTTGTTTCTCCTTTTTACAATTCGTAATTGATTTCAGTTGGAAATATATGATGCCGGAGGAATATGAGCGTTTAAATGTGCGATTTGTCAAATGTTCTGTGACGCATGTCCCGCGAAATAAGTTTCAAGAGCACTTATTTAGGTCTTTGGTGAATGTTCTTTTGTTTGAAATAACCGTAGCCACTGTGAATCCGCGCCATCAGGCCGACTTTCAAGAAATATATTTGTCAAATTCAAAAATTTCTATGTTTGAATGCTCATAACTCCTTCCAGGTATTCGCTTGGCAGACAGAAAACCAGAAAACATATATTTGAAATCAGCCTTTCAAGGCAAGTCCGAAAATATACAGCTTGTTCGAAATGGCTGGGTTAATTTCTAACCACTTCTCGTTAAAGTGAGCACTGAAAAAAATTTGAGTTTTCGTATTTAAAGCGCCCCGACATAGATCTAACAGCAGGCCTGCTCTCAAATTTATGTCTTCATACTTCTTCTGCAATGTTCTCACGAGTATGAGGCGGAATAATGACATTGTTTGTATGCATGAGAGTCCGTATGCAGTGGTTGCAGATTTCTACAGATCCTAGCGTGCAGGCTAATTGAGGAATTCGTCCTGCAAAAACGATTTGAACCATCCTTAAAGTTACTTTGTTCTCACCACAGTGCTCATGTGAATTACAAGGCAACATACAAAACAGGGTGTTTTCACTATTTAGCACCTAAATGCTTGCAAAAATTCAGGAAAGGTACCACTTGTTAAGTATTTTGAGTTTGCCTAACATTATCATTGAACCACGAGATGTATGCTTTTAAAACGAAGTAAAATGTGATTTCGCAAACAATCGTGAGTACAGCGTACAACTTCTTTTTACGTGAATAATGCTTTTACATCATTTTGAACTTACAAAAATAGCGTAAACCAATTTTAAAGGCAAAAATCTGTTCGCAGGCTGCTGTTAGATCTATGTCGGGTGCGTTTCAAGCACGAAAAGTCAAGTTTTTTTTCCAGTGATCACTTCGCTAAGCATAAGATATTAGGGTGAACGGTAAAAAATGGGGCAGCTTGATTTTTTTTACATTTTGAGGTTTTCTGTTCTAACCAACAACTAGCAGGCTGCAACTCAAACGTCGCTTACATAACCGGCCTTCGCCTATTATTCTGGCCACGCGTTGCCGCTCCTCCCTCATACCGTACGCGTGGCGCCGTGAAGGACTCAGACAGTGTTTTTGGAACAATTCTCAATCTTGCGCTGCTATACCGTAAAGTCGTAAACCAAGTGACATACCATTCGAAAGAGCTCTTTATGCTCTTTCAAACATATGTTAAATGCATGAATTTCTTTCTAATTTCAGAAAAAAAAACGCGGAAAAATTTGAAAAATAGCCATTTTCTGGCGCAATAAAAAACCAAAAAACCATGTTTTACCCCATATTTTCCCAAGATAGATAAAATCTGAAGTAACCTGCATATGGATGGATAGAGCGTAAAAAGCTCTATCAGATGGTGCCTACAAAACATGCATTCACCTGCAAAGAATTGAATAACGCGTATTTTTGTTCTCGAAGCTGTTGATGGCCATATCTCCTGACTTTGAAAGTTGAGGCCAATCAAACCGTCGTGGGTTCAATGACAATTCCACAGCACACTCCAGCAGTGGTACTTTGGGTGGTCTCACATGTCACTGCGCAGATACTGCTCAAAGTTCAGAATTTATGATAGAAGTGACTAACTTTGCATTTTACCAAGTATAAAAATTATCAATTATGTAAATGACCTTATATAGGTATTGTTTGAAAGAGAATAACATATTCTAACATCTGCCAAGATCGAAAAGTCTAATCACTTCTCTTTCTTGAGAAACTTCCAGTTATTTCGTAAGTGCCCCATTTTTACCGATCACCCTAATAAATGGAACCCTATCGCGTTTCCTAAAAGTTTATGACACAGCTAGACTAAAGCCACTGTTTTGCGAACATAGTTTCGACAACCGCATTTCCTCGCTTTTTTCTCTTTCCCTTCTTGCAAGTGACTGTCAGCTAACCAGTGTCACTCGAAGCGATTAAGCGCTAAAGTTTTAGAATGTTATATGCACCCGTAGCCTTGAGTAAGCGCTAAGACTGCAGTCGATTCCGTCTTCACAATTTTAGAAATCCCTATATAGGGCAGTAAGTGAGTATGTGACATGTTTGAAATAACATCCATGTGGAGATGTATCAAATGCTTTTTGGCTTTGCCGTATGTACGAAAGTTGTCAGTGATTATCTGTCGTCAATCTGAAGAACTCTACAGTAGTATGAGATCACGTTCATTCCCGCGGGCTGTAGTGCTAACCGTTTGCGGTAGAAAGCCCAAGATTATTCTTACAGGCTATAATTTAACCGTTTGTGGTTATCGAAAATATTAGAATACTTACTGCTGGTGGCACACATCCATCACGGACGAAGACAATACTCATACAGATGATCATGCATAGGTCAGTCCAGCCTTAAAGCAGCGTCCAGGCAAAAAGATGGGTTCCCGGTTCTTGTGGAGATGTTAAAGCAGACCCCCCTACCTAAGCGATGACTGAAGTTCGGAGCGAATGAGGGGTCTACCAAGCCTGAAATTTGCTCCGAAAGTGGCCCGAATCTTCCGGTAGGCCCGTACCCCGCCCACACTATCGATTTGCAAGGTCAGAGTGCGCATAGCGCACACAGTCATGAGCGCAGGGTCCCGCAACGACTCTGCGTTTCTATCTTGCATGCATCTCGCACTCGCCCGAGCCTAACATAAGCTTCGGGCCATTGAGGGACAATTTGTAGACTTCGCAGACCCCCTTTCGCGCCGCAAAATTCTGTCGTCACTTAGTTGAGAGGTCTACTATTACATTACTACTAGAGCCAGATACTCCCAGTCTGGTGGGACGCTGCCTATAAGATGTCCTCATTTGATCCCCGTACCGGTTTCGTCTTTGTGGATAAATCTAATGTTAACTTCGAAAAAATCAATTGATCATCACGAAATCAACACAAGCGTTCTCCTAATTCAGCTAAGCACCTTGCGGCACACAGACAAAATCTCTACAACCTTAAACAGCGTTGTAGACTCTCTACAGCCTACAGATAAACTTCGCCTCAATTGCCCCAGAAACTTTTAGAGGGGTTTATAGTGTAGGTTCTTCTATTGAATAACCATTTCACATGAGTTAGTAATTTATTGTACAGTTTCATAGAAATATAAACGAATATGTGACACTATCTGTTTATGGCTGGAGTTACACAAACTTTGCTGTTGCTTGGCTTCGCTCGTTTGAGAAAGCTGAACCAATTACGTCGCATTCTTTTTTGAAGAACAAATATCACCAAAGGATTGATCATGGTGTTGATTGCAGTGAAAATAGCCGACATTTGAAACGATGCTATGGTATAGATATATGGCGTTATCAAAGGAAGTAGTCCACCGCTTCCGAATTGGCTCAGACATATAAGGATGAATTGGAAGATCTAAACATTGTGCTAAAAGCAGCGGAAAACGTAACTTCTGCAACTTATGTGCTGTGCTGTATCCAAGGTTTTGTTTGCTTCGCAAAATGTGAAAATGGTTTCTTTTCCTTTTGGAGGTGAGCATGAATAAGTGATGCAAGCAATCTCTCAGCTAATCGTCGGCCACATGTCTCAAGGAACTTGATCGAAAACTATTCATCTAAACGACTATAGGCTGACCCGTTCGTGGCAAGACGTAGATTTAGGCTGCTCACGAAGAAAATGCTAAGAAGGTTTTCAAATTTTTCTACAATGGTTAGCAATGTTTGTACCTAGCATCCGAAGAATAAAAAACTGAAACAAAGTGTCAACTCCTTAATTCTGAGAAAATTGTAGCAAATGAAAACATGCAATTAAAGAAAGCGCCAAAGCCATTCTCATCCTATTCGTAGTGTCCCACTAAAACCAGAAAAATGAATCGGCCAGAAAAAGAGCTTACCACTAAAATATCATCCATCTTGGTAGAACTACCCCGTATGCTACGAAACTCTCTTCGAAATGCGAGAATACGACAAAAAACAATAACATAGATACCAAAGTTTACAGCAGGACAGATTATGCCCATGTAACTCAATAGAGGTCGATAATTGCCACTGCAATTGCTAAAAGAGTGTCATGACTTTAATAACGGGCTAACGATGCTTACGGGTTCTTGTGTTTGCAACGAAATTCACTGAGCGAGTCGCAAACAAGGTTTCAAGCCGCGATTTTTGCACAACACATACTAACAACATCTAGATTCACCATGCAAAAGCACGAGCAGAACCACTGAGTAGGCTCGTCAAAAATCGCACCCAAATTGGATCCATTAAACTTTCGGCGGGCAAAATTGGGTTCATACTACCACGTTTTGCGAGGTCGTGGTTATGTTTGGCAAGTGAATATGCAAGCTTTGAAGTTTAGCCCAAAAAAGTGACCAGAAGTCTATTACTTCACGAAAACGGCGCCAAAAAGTATTGGCATATAGTGAGTTTGCCAAGGCTTATCTGGACATTTGAGAAGACTTTTGCACAGTGATGTAGCTCAGATTGTTTTCTTTATGGCGACTACCAAGTCATAACAAAATTCAAGAATGATTTGATTTTGCATTTGTTCTTTTGCGAAAACTTCCATCCATGCGTAATCACCGCTTTCATATGAAAGCTTTCTTAGGCAGGCGCTTACTTCTTGAGGAGTATAGCATGGAGACGGGCGATCGCCAACCGCTACGACTGGCGATCGCCGGTCGCCAATACTGGCGAGTGTGTCTTCTATGCATATCGATGGCTGACAAGTTACCACACGTCCAATCGATACACAATTAATGTGTAGTCGCCAACACTGGCGACTGGCGATCTCCAATATCGGCGACAAAAATTGCCGGTTTCACACGTATTTAATGCATATCGATCGTCGCCATGCTATACTCCTCGAGGAGATAGCGCCTGCCTTACTGAGTTGATGTTTACAATCTGTTTGTGATAATGAGCAATGCGCGGTGAGTTTTAATAACATCTTATGCAAGAATGCATAATGCATGATAGTAGAACCAGGCGAGCATTGGCGAAGCAGAAGTGATGCACTGGTTTGAGATTGACTCAAGAGAAGTGGCTTTCCACATAAAAGAGAACTGCTATGGTTTCTAGTTATTAATATAAGTCGAACAAAACTAAGTGCTGCAGGCATTGATATTTGGAAGAGCGAAGATCACTGTCTAAGGCCTCGGGCAGAGTTCACGCGATTTGATCGTCGCGATTCAATCGCTACAAGACAAGTGTTACGACATTGCATGTCGATCTTCTTGCATTTCGGTTGTGAAAGTTAGTAACGATTACTGTTGGAAAACTATCACAACCGAAATGCAAGAAGATCGGCTTGCAATGATATTGTTACTATTGTTGCGATGAATCGCCACGATAAAATTACATGAACTCTGCCCGAGGCATAAGGTCTATGTATACCAGTGGCGTACCGAGGGGGGGGGGGCGGGGGGGGGGGGGGGGGGGCGCGCCCCCCCCCCCCCCGAGAATGGGTCGCGAAATTTTTGAAAGTTACTTATATGGGTTATAAAAATGTGTAAGTGACTTGTTTATTTTCGTAGATAATTAAAATAATTTTTAAAAAATTTAAAAAATTCTAATTAGTCTTGTAAAAAAAATTTTTTCGGGGGCGTGGCTGACGCCACGCCCCCTTTTTCCAGATTTTAGGGGTCAGGGACCCGCAAAAGTTCTTAGATGCACCCCAAAAATTTTTTCGGAGTGCGTGGCTAAAGCCACGCACCTTCTTTAGATAAAAATTTTTGTCGCGCCCCCCCCCCCCCCCCCCGAGCCGAAATCCTGGGTACGCCACTGATGTATACATAGCATCAACATTCTCTAATAGATAAGGTACCCCTACAAGGCGGGTAAATGATGCATGCGACCTAAGTTCTAGTTACTTAGCTGAAGCTAGAGTTATCATGCAATCACGTCGGTAACGATCTTTGATCTGTTTCAGCCGTAGTTTCCCTATTTGATTGGCACATCCGTCTCATAAGTCAAGCAAAGAGCTTAGCATATAAGGCTTTTGCGCAGCGAATGCTAGCTGGACGGGAAAGGAACGCTGACTTTAGGTCGCCTTTCCGCTGGCAACCCATACTCTCTCTTCACCCGTTTTCAGTTAGCAATCTTGTGGTAGCGAGGAGTTTGTTGATCTTTAAAAGTACCATGCTCACCTGCAAGAGTGCGTAAAAGCAAGTCCATATGGATCCGTTCTTTTGTAGCATCCAAGAGTAAACATATGAGCTATAGCAGCAATTGATACAACAATAGGAAGCGCAGCCACGCATGGTAAGATAGTTTTTCTGTCGTTCAGAAATCCATGCACCTACAAGGATTTTTTGAAGGTATGATTGCCTGCAAGTGATATGTGCATCTACCAGTGGCCCCAGGATTTCGGACCGGGGGGGGGGGGCGACAAAAAAATTTAATTTTTTAGAGTGCTTCTCAAAATTTTTGCGGGTCTCTAACCCCTAAAATCTGAAAAAAGGGGATAAAAACTTTTTTGTAAAGCTAATTTGAATTTTTAGAAATTTTTAAATATTTGATAATTATTCTAATTATTTACAAAAACAAACAAGTCGTTTGCACATTTTTATAACCCATATAGGTAAGTTTCACTTCGCAACCCAGAAGGAGGATCAGAGAAGAAGAAAAGACGCAAAACAGATACAAAAGGCAAAAGAAACTGCTGAAAACTGGATAAAAACGCTGCAACGAGGTATGAAATCTTTCATTTGGCGGCTTTAAGGTGCAGATTTCACTCCAGGACCGGCAATTCGCAATACGGGGGGAAAACGAAGAAATGCTAATTTCTTTTCTTATGATTATTTCAAAAAGCCATGTTTGAAAGTAGTGGTTATCACGAAGAAGATAAACAAGAAAGAGAGTGGTGATAAAGACGCAAAGTTTCTTTATTCTAGGTCGAAATGCACGTCAAAGCCAAATTTAGTTTTTGATGCGTCCTTTATATTTTTACCCCCGCATTGACGTTCCTTTTCCTGGGACGTTGTCTGGATTGTTGCGCTTATTGTTCTGAGCAACAGTCGTCCAAGCTGGAAAAAATCGCTGCGAAAGCACTGAAACAGAACAAGTTAAAGAAAACCGTACTTTTTAAGATTTTTCGCAAAAAATTCCACCATAATCGAAGAGTTAAGGGCTGGGTGGCTGTCTGCATTATGAACAGAAGCAAGATCTATAGATTGCACGAAAAAACCGCATGAAAATAGTGAAACTAGAAGAAAAACAAAAGATTTTCGAAAACAAGGTTTTTGCCGGATCCGACCATATCAAAAAATGTGGTTTTGGGACATTGTCAGCGTGAAAATAGAGATCAAGAGCTTCAAAATGATATATAGCTTGCTGAAACTGGGTCCGAAACAGCGAAGAAAAGGGTACCAGAGCCAAATGCCCCGCGCCCCGCGTTTGGGGTAGCAAGGTAGCGCGCAGCGCACGGAGACGCTGACGAGCAGCGGAGCCAGACCAGAGCCGATGGGGCATTTGGCCCTGGTTTTAGATCTCCGCGGGATCTCAACGAAACCCTGCAACATTATATATCATTCTCACCGTCATGATGCGACGAAGAGAACTGATAATTTCTCAAGCTTGGGAAATTACTCATTAACAGGATATACCAGCGTTTTCGTGCGCGATTCTCTGCGCAAGATTTGAGCGCAGTTTTTCGTTTTCATTCAACTCCAACAGCTTTCCCAAACCTCTGAAACTCGATTTTGGTCAAATGAGTGGTTAACTGAGAAATGTTGGCTGAATTCTGGCGCAAATTTTACAGAAACCTTCTTTTTAACGTAAAAAAAACTATGAAAACGCAAATTCTCGTTTTCGCAGAGATAACCTAGAGATATTATTCCCAATAATTGCTTCATTAACATTCATTTCGATATAGCTAGGATATTAACATCCAGAACTTCGTCCCTGATGACTTCTGTTTTTTAGGTGAAGGTCGTGTCCCCTCATAGCCCTCAAAGTGAAGGTTACCAGTGTGGCTCTATGTATCGAAGGTATGCTCATCAGTAAACCAAGGACTCAAAGCCAAGGCGAGAAATCCAGATGTTAAAAAGCACGTGGCTTGCAGAAAAGTTTATGAAGGTTTTAGAAACCCAAATAATTTCAGTTCGTGTCTTATCGCTTGCGAGTGCCTGAACTCGACATTGATAAAGAGAGTCTTTCTCACTGGCTAGTGGGATGCCTGTCTGAGTGGACCTGCCTGGCGCTGGAATTTGGTGGACAGAAAAACTTGGGCTGTGCTAGCCTGAACTAGCGAGGAGCTAGCGCCGTGCTCTCTTTAGCGTCTCCATCAATACACGTTTCGTGTGGAGGGGGGGGGGGACATATAGCGAGTATCGTTGGAGAAAACCCGCCCGAGTTCAACCCCATTTAGCTATCTGTCAATCAAATTTCATTGTGAAAGAAGAAAAAATAGCAAACCTTTGGTACGATGAAGAACATTAGCCGATCTAAAGCAATTATTGTTGTAGTAATCATAAAAGTGAGGAACGACAATGTGTCAGCCACAGAGATGATAAGGTTTGCTGGATCCCTCATTTCGACTCGAAAGAGTATGGTAGGTACTAGCGAACTTAGTATCGGTATCACACCGATAAGTCCTGCTAGGGTAGCGCTAAGAAGGTATAAACGCAAGGATTTGAAAAAAGTGTCATTCCGGAGAAGAATTGAAGTGAGAGTTACGTTCATAAAGATAGACGTAATAGATATAATTATAAGTATTATTCCATATATAATCCGCCAAGGGGTCGTTTTCTCCTCGAAAGGTTCACGTAATCGACGCAGACAGAGCAGAGCAGCATCGGACATGTCTGTAATCATATATTTGAAAAGGGAGAACTTCAGAAGCAAAGGGAAGACAAGTACTCTTCGTTAACTGACTAAGCGCTTATATTGATATCAATAAGCGAATGCAAATCGGTTTTGCAAAAAAAGGAAGTGCCAAATTTGTGCACGCTGCGATAGCATGGCGTACAGGGCGTCCAAAATATGTATCTAACGTAGTCTATAAACTTTCTTGTATGATCGCCTTTCTTTCAACACCCGATTGTAGAGCTGGCTTAACCTTAGAATTACACTACTTAGATAATCG